TTTGTTCAATCAATCACATAGAATTCATGTTGATACTCTCTGTGATATTATTGGTGCCCCAAAAGCGAAAAGAGATGTATATACAGCAAATGGAAGAAGAAATGTTGTATTTGAGCGAGAATGTGGAATGTTTTGGAGAACTATCTCTTGTGAAGATGAGTTTCAGTCAGGCACAGCAAAAGCTTCTAGCATTATTCATCCGGTTCTGAAGGTCACCCACCGGATTATTTCTTCTCTCTTATTTCCTCAAGAAGAGATTAGCAAAGCAAACAAAAAAGAATTAGAAGTTTTGTGGTGCATGATTAACAAGCCCGAGGAAGTCCCTCATTTTGGGTGTTGGGTAGTTCAGAAAATGCTCAGAAATGCCATGAGAAATGGTGGCCAGCTACATTGTGGAGGCATGGTATCTATTATAGCTGAACATCTTGGCCTCCATCTACCCAACAATCCAAGCAATATAATTCCGGGCCGTACTCGTTTATCACTTGAGGTTTTGGAAATCATGCATCTCTTTCACCGCCATCCCAATGGGGATGTTCATTGGACAGTCGATGGTAAAGAATATTTACGCGTCGATAACCAAAATAAGAAGATATTAGTCTAGGCCAATGACATCCCTTCTACCAATTGGCACCTCTAATCCAACTTGGGTGTTACTGCTGCCCGTAGACCTTCAACCACCACTTCTACTCCTCCTGTTCAAACTGCAACTGCAGGTGCTTCCAGCTCGTCTCGCCCCATTCCTTTTCCCGAACACAACCTTTACATTTGGCGAGTTTTCACGCTTAGATAATCATTACACGAGCCTCCAGCAGGAACTAGGAGAGGTTTATACGGGAGTTGCTGAAATCACTTCTGAATTTCATGACTACCGAAACCTTCAAGAAGAGCGTTGGGCCCAGCAAGAGCTGCGATGGGCCGAGCAGGATCAGCGATGGGTGGCTCAAGAGTAGCATAACCGCAATGTTCATCGTTTGATGAGCGATATCCACCGAGTACTTGTGCTTCCCACCCAACACCAGCAGCCTCCATCATCATCCCAACCCCAGTGGCCTCCATTTTATCCTTCTGATTATCCTTCACAGTTCCCACCATATCCTCCACCGCCCGGTCCTCAATAGGCCGGCTATGCCTCTCTCCAAGCATCGAGGACGATGCTTATTTTAAGCTTGGGGAGGGGCATCCATCCATGCATAAATCCCATTACATGTAGGTTGCATGTAATTTTGTACACATTGCTTTAATTTCCATTTTCTTTTTCATTTTTCTGCATGAAAAGTTTTTCAAAAGCCAAAAAGATTTTTCTTTCTATTCTAATTTTTATTATTTTCTGTGCATTTTGTTTGCATCTAAATTTTTGCATTGCATTCATTTAAAAAAAATGATCCAATCCCAAGCAACCGAATCTTTTAAAAACAGTTGAGATGGTAAGTGAGTCATGTGCCTTGAGATTAGACTTGCTCTTTTTATTGAAATTCTAAAAGCAAGTTAATCGTACACGAACACACCTCCTGAAGCTACTTGTGCAAAACAGAAAGTGAGAAGCTTGTCAACATTGGAGCATAACAGCAGGTATGAGGTAATTCTTTGGGACATATGACTGGTCTTATGAGTAGTAAATGCTCAATTGAACTCAAAATGCCAAATTCAAAAAATTCATAAAAAGAATACAAAATTTCAGTGTCCCGAGCCTTCCAGCGCTCTAAAAAGTCTTTTCTACTCATTCCCTTTTATATACCCTGCTTGGGGACATATTTCCAACTATACCTATGGGTCCTTGCATGTTAACTTCAGTCCCCCGAAAAATGTCTAGAAGCCCTCACGGTAATAGACCGTGAGATGTCCCACAATAGAAAAGTCAAGGATGAAAATATAAAGAAATAGGCCTAGCAAATAAATTTATAAGAATGTTATATGTTATCTTTGTTTTGTTTCGTATTTATTTGTTAAAAAAAAAATAAAAAATAAATAAATAAAAAATATATTATTAAGTTAATTTGTGACCTTTGGGACTCGAATAAGTAAACTCTGAGGGGTGTTCTACACCTAATCGCCTAAAGCTAAATTGGGTTGAAAGTTCGCTACACGGGTTCCATAGAAAGTCATGAACTTAATAATAACAAATAAAGCTAATCTGTGGCCTTTGAGGTTTGGGCAAGTAAACCCGAGGGGTCTCTTTAAATCTACCACACTAAGGTCATTTGATCTGGATGTGTTGGTTGGAAGCCCGTTACACGGATTTCAAAGAAAGTCATGAGCTTTATTTGTAGGAAAATATAATTAGATAGTCTGTATATATTTGTGTTTATAGTTTAATTGAATAATATGTTTAGAAAAAATGCTTGGCTGCCAAAACATTCCCTTGGACTTGGACTGTTAATTACTTTGACTAGTGTAAGTGGTTTGAAATTTGTAACCAATTTGGGTAAATATTAAGGAATTTTTAGAAGATATTTTTTAGAAAAAGATTGTTGTTAATCAACAAATAGCTAGAATCGGTCATTGATATATTTTGTGAAACAAAGATGATTGAGCATGTTTTGTCACATACAATTTCACGAGAGTAAGACCATAGTTTGTTCCATGAATTGGCTTGATGATATTGAGTGGGAACAAATGTTGTGATCTTTGATTCTGTTAAGTTGCATTAGGGAGTGGCCAAAGTCTTATTTCCATTGATATATAATTTGAGACTAAAGCCAAGTTGACTCAAGGCACGACAGGTACATTCTCAGCTATGGTACAAAAACATGGTTAATTGGGTTGGATTCTTTTTCATGTTTGTTTGATTTCTTGCATTAAGTTTTAAAATGTTTTGACTTTGATTTTCTTTTCCTCTCCTTTATTCTATTTTCTCTAGTTTAAATTTTTCTTGTTCTTTCTTGAGGACAAGAAAGGTTCAAGCTTGGGGAGATTTGTTAGATGTATTTCATGCATGCATTTTGTAGTTTTAATCCATAAAAGTGCATTGCATTTAGATTTAAACTCATGCATTTTTGCATATTTTTCGGGATTTTTCATGATGAAATTCCATTCACACACTTTTATGATATTTCAGGGACTTTTGAAGGAAGAATCTTAGTTGAGGTGATGAAGAGGAGATATGGACAAAGTTTCGGGACAATTGGAGCATCGAGGAGGAAGTTATGAAGAAAATGAAGATTTTGGCTTTACAGGAGTTTACACGGCCGTGTAAATGGAAGCCTATAGTTTACACGGGCCGTGTAAACGCATACTCGTGAGCAATGTACTTCGATGACCTGACATATTTGAGCAATTTACTTTTTTGTATTTACACGGCCGTGTAAATGGTCAGTTATAGTTTACACGGGCCGTGTAAACGTGTCGCCAGTTTTTAAAGCAGTTTTATTCTAATTTAAAGGAGGTAACTGGTTCCAAAAGGGGGGATCGTTTTTGGGGAGTTCTAGGAGGCGATTTTGGGAGCTTTTTGAAGACAATTGTTGCTTGAAAACACTTGGATTTTAATTTGTAAGACTTTAATTTCAATTTCTAGGCTTGTGTTTGTTCTAGTCATGAGTGGCTAGAAACCTAATTCTCCAACTTTATGTATTGACATTTGGATGTGATTTCAATCATATGAACTGATGTTTGCTTTCAATTTTATATCTAGTGAATTTCATTTTCTCTCAATCGAATGTTTGATTCTAATTGTGATTCTTATTGGCTATTTGAATTAGGGTTAGATTATTCAAGTTATCTAATTGCAAAATCCGTAATTGTTTTGTAAATTGGACTAGGTAACAAGCACTAATTTGATTTCTATTGAATGAATTTAGTGTAAATATTATTCATACACTCTTACGCTCCCGAGCTTGTGAGGAGTATTGGGTGTTGTTGGGAACATTCACATAAAGTTTAATGCAATCTTTCAATCTAATTGTAAGAGCGTGTTTAGATTAGGTTAGTAAGGTTAGGGTTAATCAAAGAGCTTGTTTTGGTTAATTAATGTGGTGAATGGGAAGTGTTAGACCTTGTTAACACTTTCAAATACCAACTTAGATAGAATTGAGCAAATATCATGTTATCTTGGAATTACATTGCTAAGTTGTCATACATGAGGTTGGAGTCCTTACCATTTCTGAATTTAATTCACTCTTTTAGTTGATTACTTGTGTTTTTAATTGTTTGTTTTAATTATTGCATTCAAAACCCCCCTCTTTACTGTTGGTGACCATAGTACCTTGCGCAAAGAGGTATAGACTAATTATCCCGTGTCTCTGTGGATCGACCCTGCTTGCCTTGTACTACCTTTTAGTGCAATATAGTGGGATTCTTTTGGAGTATATCATACCCCTATTATTTGTTGGGTCTGACACACCCTAACAATCACCATAACTCAAACCATCATCAACATATCCACCACTACCGGCCAACCAACACGGCACTCATATCTAACCCATATCACCCCTTCATGTTGGAATATTAACATGTCTAATCAATTTAACTATCGAGCAGAAATTCTCAGGGTTTGTTGGCCTACCGCCTCAACCCTATCGCTCCCCTTGAGCCTTCGTGCCTACGACTTTCAGTCGTCCCGCACTGGGTATCTTGGCCTACTGCATAAAGCAGGATCGCCTCAACCCTATCCAAATGCCATAGACAATCATTAGAAAGATCTAACTCGGTTCCCAGAACATGAATGACAGAACATTCTAATCCCAAGCATTCCTAAAGCTAACGAATAACATTTCGGATAGTCTGGAGAGCTAAGCTCTTGTTTTATTTATTATAAGATTTCTGCAGAATCATATGGGTTACGCCTAACAATATTACAAGTATTTTGCGACATGTAGCGTTCTTCATAAGAACCAGTGAGCTATAGATCAACGCTTATATATATATATATATATATATATATATATATATATATATATATATACAACTCGAAAATTAATTATATATTTGAACTCAGAAAGTATATCGATTCATATTTCTCTAATAAAAATTTGTGCTTTTGCAGTTCCATTAGGGGTACTATCATGGATATTAAACTTCATTCTCCTCCTCATAAGGATGGTTTATTTACCATTCTTTATGTTTTATTTTTCCTTGTGGAAGGTTTCAAAAACACGAAGTAAGAGGATATATATATGAAGTTGATTGAGATATAATTTTGGCAATAAATTTGATATATGTTTTAAATAATTATTTTTTAACTTGCCGCAGTTGCACCCATTAAGAATATCGAGAAGAAAAACAAGGAACCCCAAGAAGCAAAAGAAGTTCTTAAATTGGTATGTGATAAAATAAACAAGAAGAAGTTGGAGTTCCCTGATGCTCATACTCGCTATTACGCCAAACCATTTCTGGAAGCCGCGCGTCAAAACACTTACCGGGTTGTTGGTGAGATTTTAAAGAGATACCCTGAAGCAATTCGGTATACAGATAAAAGCGGGTATGACATCATACAGTTATCCGTAATACACCGTTCGGAAAAGATCTACGAGCTTATTTATCACCTTGGGAGCGCTAGGAATGTCTATAAAATGATCGAAGATTCTTCTAAGAACAATATGTTACACTTGGTGGGAAGATTAGCTCCTTGGCATAAACTAAAGCTGCGCACTGGTGCAGCATTACAACTACAAAGAGAGCTTCAATGGCGTGAGGTATGTTATCCTTAAATAATGAATTCTAGCTAGCTAGGGAATTATTGTCTTTGCTTTTATTTTATTGGTATATATAATTAAACGACTTGAATTAATTCAATAGAAGGTGAAGATGATGGTATCTCCGACATACCATACTAAAGAAAAAAAATTTAATGAGACACCGGATATGCTATTCACAAACGAACATAAAAACTTGGTGTTGGAAGGAGAAACGTGGATGAAAACCGTAGTAGAATCATGCAGCATCACTGCAGCGCTGATTACCACAATTGTATTTGCGGCAGCAATTACAGTACCAGGTGGAAACCATCAAGATAATGGCTTCCCCATTTTTGCAAGACAAATTCCCTTCATGATCTTTGGTATATCGGTTGCAATCTCACTATTTGCATCGAGTACAACATTACTAATGTTTCAGTCCATCCTCACTGGCCGTTTCTCTGAGCAAGATTTTCTTGTAAGTTTGCCAAGACGATTGATTATAGGTCTTTGCACCTTAATGATATCAACAACTACCATGATGGTGGCCTTCAGCATAATCCTGTTCCTTGTATTTTGTCATGGAAAACGTTGGATGCTTGCTCCAATATGTGCATTAGCTTTCCTCCCGATTGCATCTTTTATCACTGTTCAAAACCCCCCTTATGTTCAAATCCCCCTTATGGTAGATCTATTTCGGTCAACATATGGGCAGATCGAGTATATCTTTGAAAAGTATAACTTCAAAAACGACATTAGATTTAATTTGAATGACATCCGCCTGTTTTTTAGCGAGTGATAATAACTGCACATCTTGGAATCACGTATTGTGCTGGATTTTCTCCAAAGATATGTTGGGTAAAACAATCATAATTTGTTTCCTATGTCATTGTGAGAACAAGAACTACATTCTAGTTTGATATAAGTATTGTCACATATTGAGTTTCCTATGTTATTTTGAGAACACGTATCTTCACCTCTTGAATTTGTTGTGATGACAATTTTTTTTTTCCTTTTTCGTGTGCTAATGTGCTTCTATATATGAACATTTTTTTCCATTCGGTATATGTCTAATTAAACCATAACTTTTACATTCAATATCTATCTAATTATATCATTTAAGACGCTGCTAGAAAACTGCTTTTTTTCCTATGAAGGTTTTCGAGGAAAAAGAGCACGGAAATTCCAACCAAATAGAAAACCTTAATATAGGTGGATTTAGAAAAAATTTAATCATTAGTTGTTGTTCCAAAAAAAAAACCCATACCTTAGTATCATGGACATAAATTTAAAGCCTCAGAAATGTGTCAGAACTTTCCAACGCTTTTCCTACTGTTAGGTCGGACGCTATGAAGAGGGAAATGGGTGAAATATGTTTTCTCTCACATTGACACACCATACCGCCACTGCCTTTAGAGGGTGCAAGAAAAAGGTGAGGGGAGCCTATCTGTCACTCTCTCTCCTTATGTGATTGGTTAGCATTTTTTCCAGTTTTAGTAATATTTATTAAATTATAAATCTAATAAACAAATATATATCAAAATTCATAATTTTGAATTCCCTACAAAATGAATATAACATTTGTATGAAATATATTTTTTTAAAAACAAAAAAACAAAAGGTAGTGAGAGGTAACGAAAGATGGTTATTTCCTACATTTTTGTGAGTGAAATGAGAGTGAGCGAAAATTGACGTGACATTCGAAAAGTGAAAGATCTTCCCATACATACCCTACGGTCTTATATGTTAACAAAAAGTAAAAATTCCGTTGGAAATATGTTGGGAAATTACCAACCTTTTTCAGGACAAAAATAGTTTAATAATCAATATTGATATAATAAATATTATTTTTATTATATAATTATTATTTATTTCTGTTTAATCTTATTATATCTATTGTGGTTTTATTTGTAGTTATATTTTTATTGTTCAGTATTATTAGCATGTTTATGATTTATTATCATTCTTCTTACTTCTTACAGGGATTATACTTATATTCATTATCAACGTTAAAATTATTTGTTTTACTATCTTTATTATAAATTTGATTGTGTACATGTACGTATGTGTATAGTGTATATAACTTGGTAAAATAATTATATTTTATGTATAATAAACTTGTTAAAAAAATTGAACGAAAAAAACAACGTTTAAACCTCAAAATAGCAAAGACTTAATTTTGTTTATCGGTATCTAGAGTGTTCTAACATATTTGTGACGGATTTGATGTTGGTTGGGAATGCATCAAATTTAACGACCCTTTTCTAAAGAAAATCTGGCTGAAAGCATGTGTGTACACCATCGGAACATGTGTATGTACATTATATATGTATTAAATGTGTATGTGTATATGTATTGTCACACCCCCAAACCGAGAACGACGGAAACGTTCAGGGGCGGAGGACGTCATGTACAGTATCATAACATGCACAATAGTAAACAAGCAACAACATCTATTGCATTAATAGCTCCTTAATCTAACTATATTAAGATAAAAAAAAAGCAATAAGTTTGACTTTAGTTGACCAAGTTTGACTTTTACAATATAGAAATTACGGGTTGTCACATGTATTAGGGTTGAACATAGGTCTGTTTTGGGGTAAAAGTCCAAATCGGGATTTTTTTGGTTTTAAAAGTGCCCAAACCCAAAGCCACGGTTTAGATTTTATTTTGGTTTTGTCGGTTTTTTTTTTATTTTTGGTTTCGATTTTGCTCCTCGCTAATAATTCTATCAAATGATCTAACTTAAACTGTTATAACTTTAACATATTAATTTATATAACAAGTTATAATTATGTCCCTTTTGTTTTTTTTAAACAACATATTTTATAAACTTCAAACAAGAACTAACAAGACACTAGAACAAAACTAAAGTTACAACATTACAAGAAAGATAAAGCAGAGTGTTGTAATTAAAAGACCCAATCAATCTTAAACATAACTCTAATAGAACACCAAATGAAAGAAAGAAGAAACTATATCATCAAAAATAAGGCTTTTCTTTGGTTGATCCTTACGAAAAATGGCCTTATTTCTAACTACCAAAGATACCATCAAGTAACAAAAAACACTCCTCCAAGACTAAAAGACCCAATCAATCTTAAACATAGCTCTAATAGAAGACCAAATGAAAGAAAGAAGAAACTATATCATCAAAAATAAGGCTTTTCTTTGGTTGATCCTTACGAAAAATGGCCTTATTTCTAACTACCAAAGATACCACCAAGTAACAAAAAACACTCCTCCAAGAACTTCTTTAGCCTGCTTCAGAAGTCTAACATTACTAAACCAACCCATCCAATCAACATAAGACACAAAATAATAAGGTTGTAAACCCCACTTGGTCAAAATTTTAGCCAACACCGCCTTCACAGCCAAACACTTAAAAAACAAATGATTGGTTGATTCCATAACAACATAACAAACATGGCACAATATTGAAGGAATATCCAAAACTTTTAGGGACATATTTTCTCTCATAGGCAAACTATCCATGAAAATTTTCCAACAAAAAAATTCAGTTTAGTAAGAACCAGTTTGACCCATCTTGTGGTAGTAGAATTCGTTCTTAGAGTAACCAAATCCACCAAAACCTTGAGTAGAAGAGACAGAGTACAATCATGAAGACTCGAAATCGTAAAACCAACGATCTGGAACATCATTAAGAGAGACCATAGTACGAAGCTTAGAGAACAATGAGGTCTGCTCACTCTCGGCTCCACCAAGGGGAGAACGCCGAAATGACTCCATCCAAGAAGGATTATGACACTTAACCGCCACAAAAACATTTTTCTTAATATGTAAAAGAAATAAACAAGGGAACCGGTTTTTTAAGAGGTAATTCCCCCACCCAGACATCATAATAAAAGCAAGTATTATCACCATTAACAATAAGCTTCTTGGAACTATCAAAAAGATTATTGCCTTTAGCCAGTAAATCACAAGTAGCCTGAATAATTTCAATCCAAACTGATCTTCGATGAGGAAGAATAACACAGTCAAAAAGAGCACTATCACCATGAATCGCCTTCACAAAACGATCTTCTGGTGAGGTGAGTATTAAGAGTGTAACACCCCGAACCCAGAGACCTAGAAAGGAAAGGAAACCTCAATTTCAGGAAGCGACTCGTCGAGTAGGTGGAATGACTCGACGAGTAGGAGCACGTTTTCGGTCGCGGGTTAAGTGACCTACTCGACGAGTCGAGGGACCGACTCAGTGAGTTTTTCAGGGGTTTGGGACACCCTAAGTCGATCCTTATACCCTATTTAAAGAACCTTATAGCCCTCCCTCAGCCTCCTTAATGCTCTCTCAAGTCCAGAATGAAACCCTAGTGCCTTTCATGAGATTGTGAGCCATTATTGAGAATTCATGAGTGTTTTGGAGCTTGAAGAAGAAGGTGAAGCCTTGGGGATACATGAAGAGACTAGTAGATCCAGAAACCTCTTGCATCCTTCTCTATTTTCTGGTAAGAAAGCTTCAATCTTGATCATTATGCACTTAGATCTCTTATTTGTCACTTTTGGGGGTTTTTGATCCAAGAACCCTAGCTTATGAGGTATGGTCGTCCCAAGGGCTTTTACTTTCAGATCTAGAACAATTAGGGGTGGTTATGGCATAAAGGTGCAAGCTTTATGCCATAGGAATCCCCATGAAGGCATAAGAAGTGTTATTTTGGCGTTTTTAGCTCAAAAGGCCATGTATGAAGGAAAAAGACAGGAGCTTTGCGTGGTTATGAGGTGGTTGGGTCTAGATCTGTGTTTGGGTGCATTGGTTTTGGGTTAGATGACTTGTGGACCAAGATCCAAGTCCTTAAGAGTTAGGGTTTGCATGGAAACCCATTTAGTGAGGGTATTGCAGGGTAAAGTTGAAAAAGGTACCCTTCGAAGGTCATTTCCAGTTACACTTCAACTCATGTTATAACGTCCTACAAAACAAGGGAAAACGAAATATTGACTTATAAACATTTCAAACCGTGAGAATGAAATCAACAACATGATCTACAAATAGAAAAAAATAGATAATAAGTGGATTACAGGGCTAACCATATAATACAACTTCCTACTTATCACGAATGTAAATGTTATTTCTATTTATTTGTTTTGGATTCTAGACCATAGATCAAGATATATTACCATATAAGGAGATGATAATCGATAGAACATGTGCAAAATGAGGTTGCCTTGAAAAACAATCTGTAAAGGAGATTCAATTTCATCAAAGATTGAAATACTTTCAAACACCCACTCTTCCAATCCTCATCCCCAATCCATACCACCCTTTTTCATGTGATGAACCACCAGACACAATGTAGGCGGCGTTTTGACTGACGAAACAATACCTTCACCTCCATCCCATTGCCATACATATCCTTCTTTAAAAAATCCATCAAATGCACTTCAATCAAATGGACTAATACAAATACATGAAAGAAACATATGTAAATGTAATAAACATAACAAAAAATTGTCCAAAAAAATGACTATTTCAATACCTTAAGTGTTGATGACACGTGAAAAAAGAAACTCGAAATCAGTCAAATATAAAACATGATTCGTGAAATAAAATCGATCAAATGATACTTACTAACCCTAAAACAAATGAAGTCTAACCTGTTGGATTAGTGTCTAAGTCCATAACTATAATTGGTATGTACTTGACCCGACCTGGCATGGTCCATTTGGGTTGCATGACATCGAAACATTTGGATAGACCGTTTTATGAGAATAGGACATTTGTGACATATTAATATATTATAATTCTAATATATTAATATGAAATCATGTTATTTAATTAGTATT